GAGTGGCCCTAACCCAGCTCCTTGACCCTGGGGTTTATGATTATCAAATGTCTGAGTCAGCCAATGAGGCTGTGTCCAGAGCCTGGTCCCTGGAGGTGGAGCAGGCCCTGGACAGTCTCTGCAGGATGCTGGCTGGAGGCTGAGGCCACCCTGGACAGTCAAGGCTCCGTGGTAGCAGGTAAGAGGACTTGGGTGGAAGGACAGTGCTAGCAGGTGGCTGGACTCCACACTCTCTATCCCCCGATTCTCAATCTGGGCTATTTCAGGTATTTGGCTTGTAAGTCAACTCAGTAGCCTAAAATTCACATTCAAGGGGGATGGACCTTTGCTGAAACTTGGCTTGGGAACATAGGATTTCTGCAATGGATGTTCCTAGTAGAGGGAGGAGATGTAATGCACAGCAGATCTGGCTACTACCAAGGGAAAATAAACCCAGAGCCATAAAGAGAAGAGGAAGGAAGTGAGGGCACCTTATAGACTGCAGCTTAGGCATTTTATTAAATTCTCAGAACTACCCAAGAGGGCATGTTTTACTTATCCTCTTACTCAAGAGAGGGGCAGAGCCAGGAAGAAATAACTGTCTTCTGGCCCAACACCTCCAGGCTCTGTGGTCTACTTCCTTTTGGGCAAAAGGGCCAGAGACACAAAACCTTAAATAGGGCCTCACATATTCCGGGAGGAAGGAGATGGGTGCACTCACCTGGCTTCCTCTTTCCCAGGGTAGCTGGGCAGGCACGCTGTGACTCCAAGAGCCTATCGTGGACCCAGAATCTGTGCAGCGTCACCCATGGCTCCTTACGCTCATCACATCCGCAAATACCAAGAAAGGGATCGAAAGAGGATCTTGGAACTGTTCTCACAGGGGGTGCAAGAGCACGCCCCCACTACCTTCTGCCATATGCTGAAACTTCCCCGAATGATCCTGCTGCTGCTTGGGGTGCCTTTGGCTGTATTCCTGATCACCGGCTCCTGGCTGCTGGCCCTTCTGGCCAACCTCTCTCTCCTTGCTGCCCTGCGGTTCTTTGCCAAATACCCCTGGACTGAGTTTGAAGACATGTCTTTGCGCACAGACATGTCTGATATCACCAAATCCTACTTCAGTGAGCTTGGCTCCTGCTTCTGGGTGGCTGAGTGTGAGGGGCAGGTGGTGGGCATGGTGGGTGCTCTGCCTGTGACGGAGCCTGCCCTGAGGAAGGAGCAGCTGCAGTTGCTTCACCTTTGTGTGGCCTTGGGGCACCGAGGCCGTGGGATAGCCAAGGCCCTGGTCAGGACTGTCCTTCAGTTTGGGCAGGACCAGGGCTACAGTGTAGTTATCCTCAGTACTTCCATGTTGCAGTACTCTGCTCTGGCCCTCTACCAGCACATGGGCTTCCAGAGGACATGCCAGTACTTCTCCTCCCTATCCTGGAGGGTAGTTGCTGTGCCTATAGTTCAGTTTATATACCACCTTCCCTCTGCTCACGTCTCCAAGATGAAGCAGGGAGGGGGCCGAGACCTGCCCATCGTGGCTTAGTCTGCTGCAATAACAAGCAAGCTTAAAGTCTGTGTGACTCACAATGAAAGTTGACTGCTGGCTCATGTCAGATGGTGCCGGTGACTGCTCCACGCAGGCCTGTGGGTTCGCACTGTTTCGGGTATTCAGTGCTGCAAGATGTTACATACAAAAGCAACCACAAGATAAGAATAAACATTTCTTTTTCTCATGAGGCCGTGGTCAACAATTTAGGGTGCACATGGCCGGGCGGCGCTTTTCGTCTCACTCGCCTTGTTCACATGTTATGGGATGGTTTGGGGGGCAGGGAGGCGGGACTTATATATGTTCCAGCAGGCTGGTCAGGCATGCTTTGAGGTAACAAAAGCAGAGGAACAAAAGCAAAGCAGAAACAACATACAGCTTCTTCCAGTGCTGTGTGTGTATCTGCTAGCATCCATGAGAAGGATGGATGTGGAGAGTGGCCCTGCTTCAGACAGGGCCACATGGGGAAGGAGCATGAGGAGTGTGAGAAAGACCGGGGCCAGTGAGGCCATCCATCTGCTCTGGCCTCGAGGTGTCTGCTGCAGGGGAAGGAGGACTCCAGGGACAAGGTGGATCTAGAATGGGCTAGACGTACGGAGACACAGCCATACCTCGCTGGCCGGATGTCAGTGCTGGGACCCCAACATGCCTGACGGGAGGCTGGGTGTGTGGGCATCCAGGGAGAGCAAATGGGAGTGGCCAGTTTCCCTTCCCTGCCACAGCTGGGACCCAGCCTCTGTCCCCAAGTGTTCAGGAGACCCTGGCCTGACCATTTCATCCCTCAAGGCTGATATAAGTAGATGAGGCTGATACCTGTGTGGCATACACAGCCCTTCCCTGCCTGCTATCACAGGAACTGCGTGTGTCCCTAAGGCCCAGAGCCTCTCACTGGGCCTCCCATGCAAAAGTTCCGTTCTAGGGTGAGCCAAGCCCTCTCAGCACCAGCATGCTGCATCCCTGTGAGGACCAAGGAAGTCCTGGGTCCCTCCCAGCCTGGCTCCTGTGACACTGCAGTTTGGGCACCCTCTGTACTCTGGCAGCGTCCTCTGTTCACAGATTAACTCACCTGAAGGCTCAGCAGGTCACAGGCCAGGTACTGTGCTGCCAAATGGATTTGTCCAGGCACGTTTCACCCCAGTGAAGACATGTCAGCCATGTCCACGGGGAGGGCACATTCATGTCTTGCTGCCCAGGACCCTGGGCCTTAACTCCCTCCTTGCTCCATCTGGCCTCCTTTACCCCTGTCACTGCCACCCACAGTGCAACCTCCCTTGACCACCAGCTTATCCAGACCTGTTGCCCTTTTGCCTTCACCTGGCCCTCAGAAAACTCACCCATGCAAGTCACCTCTTAAAGTGTCCTGTATACCATGCCCACTGCCCTCCTGATTTGTGACTTTTGTTTCCTTATTATTGATGGAGACTCGGCTGCCTCACCAGCATGGCATTCAGAGGTGGTCTCCAGCCTCTCCTGCAGTCTCACTGGCTTCCCTGGACCTGTCAGCTGGTCCCTCAGGAGTTCCATAAGGCACTGAGCTGTGTTTATGTAAGGGAGGACAACACTGGTGCTTACCCTTTAAGTATTTTAGTGAATGATAATTTCAACACGGTGTTTTTCATTTTAGGCAATTTGGCGAAGTCCACCAGGATGCACACTCGGACTGAGAGACCAAGGCTTACGTGTAAGGACTCATGTGACCAGCTTCCTGAAGGGTCATACTGGTGCTAGAGAATGTATCTGCTCATTTGGGTACCCAACCCACTCATAGTGGAGGCTTCCTAGAGAGGCAGGGCTGCTGCTCCTGAATATTCAAAAGCAACTTTGGGGCTTGTCCATCCACTGCTCCAATGCCCTGTACTCAAGCCCCAATCACACTGTGCCTCTTCTACTTTCAATGAACTAAAACTCTTTCTACTCTGAGATCTTCGTTCTTCTTTCCCTTTGCCGCATGTTCCATCCCTGCCCACCCATCCTGTTTGTTAATTCCTTTACTTTTCAGGTGAGGTGGGATTACTGGGTTGCAAAGGTGACTTGTGAGCTGGGAAGAAGCCGTTCATCCTCCTTTCATATGGCAGTTATTGCTATTTAGTCCCTGCTACTTAACTTAGGTTTCAACTTGCAGTCAGGTATTTCCTGGAACTGAGCTAAGTAAAAGTGAATACAAAGCTTATTCTGTTCTACAGATCATATGAGAACGTGAGGATTAATCCTTGACCATTACTTCTAAATGCAGCATGACAGTGGCCTCTTGGGTCTCTGCTCCTGCTCAGGCTGAGAAGTCTGCTCCCAAGTGTCCGGCATCCACAGTGAGGGCAGTGATGAGCTCAGATGCCAGGCCCACCTGGCAGTCCAAATCCATACTCAGTGCCAACAGTTTCTGTGGCTCTTTTCTGAAGGACACACACAGAGGTGCAAAGTGACACTAGAGAATGTATCTGCTTATGCACTGGAGATAGGGAGTCTGGGTTAATTGGGGTCAGGAAAGGGGACAGGGGTAACTGGAAATGATCCGGGGCTCTGCTCATCACCATACAGGATAGTTGAGAAATTTTACATGAGATCTAAGGCCAAAATGTGAAAAATCTAAAATAGATATCAAGAAAGTGTAAAAGGTTTTGGGTGGAGTAGAAAAAGGGGTGATACGTTAATGAGGTTTTTTGGGGGAATGATGATTGTTCCAGAATTGATAAAGGAGGTGGTAGCACAATTTTGTAAATATACTAAATGCTACTAAATAGTAAATTTATAAATTGCAAAAGGGGCAATACGGTTTGGAGAGAGCAAAGATGTGAAGAGATTTTTACTGAGAGCTGCTATCTTATCGAGGGTGTGTCCTTGCCTAGAGGAGGATGTAGGGAGGTACCCCTATAACCCCAATCGTAGGAGAGGCCTCAGGAACCTTCCTGCTATGAGCAGATGTTTGACACTCAAGTCATACTGATGCCCATGGGCCTGGAACTGTGGCCACTGGGATGTTGATGGCTGCATGTGTGTGTGTGGAGATGGGGAGGGGGTCGTGGTTGTGTGGTGGTGTGTATGTTAGAGAGATAACAGAGGGGAGGTCATGAGGGGGTGAAAGTGCCTCTTTCCGAGTTGGGGGTGTGGTCTGGGTTCTATGGGTCTGTGGGAATGCAGAGTAGAGCCAGGAAACAAAAGGCAAAGTCAAGATTTTTGTTGTGTGTAGAACACCACCCCCCCCAGACAAGTTAGGAGAGATTTTTTTTCCTAATTCAGAAGACCCTACCTGTATTAGAGTGAGCGTTCTATGGATTTGTGACCAGAAGGAGAAGCCCTTACACAGTCCCCTCTGCACTCATTTCCACTTCTTTAACGTGCTGTCCAGGTTTAGGCCTGCTTGTGGGCTAGCCACAGGCAGGGAGAGCCATGTCCCTTTCCAACCTAACCTCCAAAGTGATTAACTGTTGTTTAAGTCTATCAGTACTCTGTGTCTATCTTAAGTGAAATTACATAGTTTAAGTATGGCTCCTTACTCTTCCCTGGAGGTTTTTGTTCGTACTTGCCTTAGAAATGATACTGCTTTTTTGGGGGTGGGGTGGAGTGTTTAGCTTTCTGTGTAATTTCTACTTCTTCAGCCTGAAATCTACCAAATGTTTTGTTTACATCTATCTTCATGACACCGAATGTGTCAAAACTAAAACTGTAGGTTAAAATTACTCAACTTCCACTGTGTGAAGTAAAGCTTAGCCAGAAAGACAAAAACAGATATTGGACATTTTCATATACATGAGTTAAATAATAGCCTCTCTCTTTTAAAACTGACTTTTGAGGAACCAGAGGTAGTTTGATGTACTATGGAAGAACTGTGACCAGATAAATGCATATTATAGAGCTAGTGGAAAGTACTTGCATATCTGTTTTTGAGGAAAATCAGTTCAAACCTTTGCCCATTTATGACATAAACAGGTTGAGTTTTAGGAGTTCTTTGTGTGTTCTGGATATTAATCACTTATCAGACATATGAGTTGCATGTTTTCTCCCACTCAGGGGATTTCTGTTCACTGTGCTTTCCCATCTGGTACAGTCACTGTATATAGATAATTGAACTATACAGAACAATAAAAGAGTGAAAAAAAGTCACTCAACTTCCAAACAGTACAACTTGGTTTAACTTCCTAATGGCTGGCCATAATTATTCATTGTAATGTATAGCTAAAATGGTCTGTTTTCTTCATACACTCCCACCCCACAAACTCCAGTGTCAGTGGAGGCCTTTTCTGGGAGTGGCAGAAACAGAAGTTGCCCTCTGGGAACAAAAGTGGCTAAGAAGGCTAGAGTCAAACCTTCAGGAGAACAGAGGGAGACAGTTTCTTAGGTTAGTTAAGAACTAGGTATAGGAAAGAAGCAATTCAAGTGTGACTATCCAGAACAGATCAAAACTCCTAAGGGTAATGGTTCATTCTGAGCCTGGGCTTCTTGAATCTGTGCAAGAACAAAAATCAAAACAAAGTAAGACTAGAGGTCCAAGGTTTTTCCAGGCATAGGACTAAAGCCCTTCTAGTGCAAAGTCTTGCACAGGGGCTGGGGTGTGTGCGACTGGAGGGTGGCAGCTGAGCATCCTGATGGACTCAGGAGTGGTAGCAAGGAAGGCTGACTGTGGCTTTGGGGAGGTGCTCTGTCTGGGCAGAGTAAGAACCATCCTGAGTTCTAGGAAAAGGTAAGTTCTGGGAGAGGTGGTAGGCCCAAGATGGGCTTGATTTTGTAGCCTGATCATACCTAGGTTGATTTCCTGGGGAGATACTATTATAATGAAAAAATAAGTCTTTCAGGTTTTCCATTTAAATAAACCTGGCAGAGGCGTTAACTGTTTTTTCCCAGGCACTTGTAGTAGCATTCCCAAGGAGGTGTGTTCAGACCGGGGCTACAAGGCACTTCACTCTGCCATGGTGTCTTCTTGGAGTGCCCATCCATGCTTGCTGTTTAGAATGCAGTTCCCTCCAAACACTGACAGGCATTTCAGGGAAATAATGGGGGCCATTGCCAAATTGTTTGGGTGGATCCTCATTCCCTGGTGGCGCAATGGGTTAGGACGCAACACTGTAAGCTGGCAGTAGCCACTTCAGTGCAAGTTCGATCCCCGGCCCTAGAGGTGATCCACATGGTGGGGCAGACCTCACCTGGCCCGCCTCCTGCTCCCTTCAGTGGTGTACTTTGTGGATCTGCCTGTTCTGCTCTCCACTCAGTCTCTGGTGAATCTTCTCACTACCCCTGTATCTCTGGCTTGTACCCTAGCTCTGTATGAATAAATAAATATATCTTTAAAAAAAATTTGTTTGGGTATTGCTTGGGTAAGCTCAGTAAAATGGAGCGTGTCTGGCAGGACACAGCAGATGCTTAAAAGCTCAGTGTTCATGCAGGTCTCTTAAGAGAGGATAAAGCAGGTGGCCCTCATATCTGTTTCTGCCTGGGTCACAATGGGAACTCACTGACCTGGGGATTCTGAAGCCTGCTCACAGTGCTTCTAGGATGTGCCAGCTGCCCACTGTGGTTTTCCAGGCCATGAAATTAAATGTCTTGGGAAGGTAGCTGGATGACACAGCCCTAGGCCTAAAGAGAATCACACATGTTGTTATTATTTTTTAAGATTTTATTTTATTCATACAGAACTGGGGTACAAGACAGAGGTGCAAGGGCAGCAAGAGTTTTCACCAGAGACAGAGTGGGGAGCAGAACAGGTGGATCTACTGCAATATACTGCTGAGGGAAGCAGTGGGTAGGTCAGAGAGGTCTGCTGTGCCATGAAGGTCAGCTCCCTGGCCGGGCATCAAACTCGTGCTGCAGCGTCTGCACAGTTTCATAGTGCTGTGTTTCATCCGTTAAGTCACCAGGGAAGGCCCCACACACGTTATTTCTAATCAGACTCAATCCTGCCCTGGTTTACTTGCAGACCCGGGTTTCTAGACAACTCTGTTTATTCTGAGTAGTAACTTTTGCCAAAACATGTAGACTACACTATTTAAGAGCTGAAAGTGGACTTATGAGGTATTAATCCTCCTGTTTTACTGGTAATCTGACCTGAAATGGTTAATTACTTTTGCCTAGCAAGAAAGGAGAAGAAGCTAAGAGTAGACCTGATGGATCATGTTCTTTTTTTCTGAACTTTTTTCATAGTCCCCTTCTGGATCAGAAAGTTTGCCTCACTGGCATCACTTGAAAGCACTAAGTTATGCCTGGTGGCAGGGCCTGCTCTTTGATACAGCCTTTTAGGGTGGGATCTATGCCTCTTACCCTTCTGGGACTTCCCAGAACTTAGAATGAGGCTGCTTAAAACTCCTTCCCCCTAATACCCCAATTTCAGCCCTTTAGTTGTATTCCAAGTCACAGGGGGGAAAAATCCTGTTATAATCTAATCTAGCCACAGGATTAAGTGCTTAAAGTGCATTATCACATTTATTAATTCATGCTTTTCAGAAAGTCCACATTATAAACACTGCTCCCATGTTTGATATTGAATGATCTGAGGTAGATTAAAATTCACCAAAGATTAGTAGATTTCTCCCCCTACTACAAAGCAAACCCTTGGGGTAGCTGGAACAAGGTTAAGAGACAGCTCTGGACCCAAAGTGTGTGTGATTCTGCCAGGAGTCTCTGAGCATGCCTGATGGGTACTCTAACCTTCTTCACAAAACACAATGGGACCCTCCCCATGCTGTGTTTCTAAAGAAAGGCCACATTTCAGGGCCTCCCTGGTGGCATAAGGGTAAAGCACAGCACTAAGCAGCTATCTGCAGCCACTGCAGCATGAGCTCAATCTCCAGCCAGGGAGGTGACCCCACGGCGCTGCAGACCTCTCCTGATTGCCTGCTGCTCCCCTCAGCAGCTTCTTTCAGGTGATCTGCCTGCTCTGTTCTCTGTTCTGTTCCCTGTTCCCTGCTCTGTCTCTGGTGAACCCTATCACTCCCTGTACTTCTGACCTGTACCCCAGTTCTTGTATGCAAAAATAAATCTTTTTTAAAAAAGGCAGGCCACATTTCATTCTCAAAGCCCACTTTCTTTGAATAATGCTTTCAGATAAAGCTCCTGGCCAACCGCAGGGGAGAACTGCATAGCTGTCAGCACATATCCAGGTGGGAAAGAAACGACCCTCTGCTGCTTGCTTTACTACAAATGAATCAGAAGTTATTTATTTTTTAAAAGTATAAAAACAAATGTAAAAAGGATCCTATTCTTAGCTAGAATTAAAAGACGATGTCATTATCATCATAGCAAACATACCTGAGGGCACAGTCACTGTACAGAAAATACTGCTACCAAACCATTAATAATCTTAAATACCACTGTGCCCCAAACTGCAGAAGATGACTTTTTAATTACACATGGATGAAGATTAAGTTTTATTAAGCCAGATTCATAAAAGTAAGGGTTGTGCTTCTCCATGTTGATAAAATATGATTCCAAGGCTCTGAGGAAAATAATCTTAGGTCAGTCCCAGGGAACTTTTCTCCCCAAGAGTTGATTGGTCACTTTCTGTGGAAGAAAACAAAGGCAGGAAAGAAGTTAGATACCCTCGCCACGGCAGTCAGGAAGCCTCCCTGAGCCAGACATGACACTGAAGAGACCAGTGTAGTCTACCCAACCCTGTTGATCTTCCTCAGATCTAGAAACTATTGTAATTATAGAAAAAATACTTCTGGATATTAGGAAAGACGATTTATAATCAATATCTATTATTTCTATAAAGATACAGATAATCTATAATCCCGCTAGATTAAGGCACCCATTAATGCACAAATACACAAGCACAATGAAAGCCCTGGCCTTGTGATGGAGACAAACCACAGTGGTTTGAGGTCTGCAACAGTTCCCTAATGCCACATCAGTCTGCTATGAACTCGTCTTGGTTTCCAGCTGTTTGAGTCTTCTGTGGGCAAAGTGCAGGGGTTAAGAATGAAACAAGCACAGCTGAAGGGTATGACTCCTTCACTGCAGTAGCCAGTCTGATGTGGCAAGTCCTATGGGCCATGAAGTTCTAGAACTTACAGCACCCAGATTCCACTGGGTCAGAAAGGAGCAGCAGCTTTGAGACTCTGTTTCTCCATGTGCTAACTCTTATGTCACACTTGGTAATTTTCCAGTTTGCTTTGAAAGCTCTAGAGATACATGATTTACCCATCAAGGGCATAATTGATAGAGTTGGACATTCCACTTTAATATTTAAAATGATTCCTAAGTAAGAAATTTTCTTTCAACCCAAATGGATGTGTGGATGGTGCTTTACATTAGATTTGCCTTTTTTGAATTTCAAATTTTAAATCTTAGTCATATGTGTCACTATTTTCCAAATATCAGCAGTGATACAATGCATTACAAGATTAAGTTTTCCTCCCCAAATGTGGTTAATTTAAACAGTTTAGATGTGTTTTCCCTAATTCCTCCTTCCCCTGATAAAATGATCAATCTCCTTCTAGACTGAGGATGGACTGACCTTTTTATATAGCTGGGCTCGCAGTCGGTATGACTTATATTCCGATCTCCTCTTTTCCTCTTCTCTCTTTTTCTGGACTTCTGGAAGCTGCTCATAAATCCTTAGGAGCAGTCCCAGGGGAAAAACAAAGCAGTAAGGTTACCAGATTACAGAGGCAATGGTCCCTTATCCCATTTCCTGACTCTTCTGCTCTCAAGGCTTTCAGATCCTCTCAGACAGGCCTGGGTTCCTGTGTGCACTCAGTTTCCCCTTAAACACCTGAGCAAAAGAACCCTAGCCTGAGGTGCTCATGGTCTACAAGGGGAGACAAGTAAGTAAAACACAATAAAACCCTGACAAGTGTTTACTTCTGGGAAAGAAATGAGATAAAAGTAAACTGTTTGTACTCTTAGCAAAAATCTATCATTTCATTATAAGATAAATACATATTACTACTATATTTTTAAACACATGAGAAGTAATGGGAAAATAAAGTATCATAATAGTCAACAACTACAAAATATTGTACAAATATACAAATAATGGGAAACTTATTCCTTCTGAAGGAAGTCAGGGACGACTTCAGAAAGGAGTAATGTTGAAGGAGATCTTGAAGAATAGTTAAGAGCAGAAAGGGGACAGGAAGAGAAGAAGAACTGGCAAGAGAAAGCAGATGCAGTGAATGTGGATGGGAGACTGTGCGGGGCTCTTGTAGCCATGTGAAAACCTCTCAGGGACTGAGCACCACTGATTTTAAGTAGACAGGAATATGATCAATTGTACATTTACTAAATACTTTTCAACTGGAAATAACCTAAATTTGCAACAAAAAAGAAATTAAACAGATTATGGAATATAATGTAATTATTATAAAGCATAAAAAATGATAAAAAGAATCTTTAATTCTATGGGGAAATTCTCACATGTTGAGCAAAATATAACAGGCTATATTGTACTTGTATGTATACATACACACACACATATACATACATACATACATAATAAACAACAATTTTGGAGGAAAATGTGTTAGTGTAGGTCTCTGTAAAATCCCCACACCTACCAGAAATAGGGCTAGTGTTAATTATGTTTAGATGGAAGGATTATAAATGATATTATTTCTATTTTCCAGTTTTCTATAATCTGAAAAAAAAAAAAACACTGAAAACAATGGAGAGGGTCTGTGGAAAAAGAATTAGAGAAGATAAAGAACAGAAGCTGGAAGGCCAGCAGTCCTGAGTGGGAAGCCAGTTCCTATCAAAGCCCTAAGAAGAGTGGAATCCAGAGCAATCGAGAAACTCGAGTCTATTTTATACACAATGGAGATGATCACTAGTGAAGAAAATACAACAGTAGAAATCAGGCAAGAGACCAAAGACGAGTTTCTTTTAAGAGTCACTATTGATCAAAACCACAACCTGCTATCACCTCACAACTGTGAAGAGTAGCTATTATCAAAATGTTAGGCAATAGGTGGAGAAAGGGAACCCTTGAGGTCTACTGGTACAAATATAAATTGTTATAGTTACTATAGAAAACAAGGTTCCTCAAAAAATTAAAGATAGAACTATCATATGATCTAATCGTTCCAATTCTGGGAGACAACTGTACCGCTGTGCTCATTGTTCATAGCCACCAGATACGAAAACACCAAACTGCTAATCAACAGATGAATGAGTAAGAAAACATAACACACACACTACTCAGCCATAAAAATACAAGAAATTCTGCTATTTACAACAACTTGGATGAATCTTAGAGGTATAGTGCTAAGTGAAATAAGTCAGACAGAAAGATTAGAGAGTATGACCTCACACATGGAACTTAAAGACATCAATCTCAGACTCAGAGTAAATGGTGGTCGTGTGTGTACGTGAAGGGTGGGTTAGTGTACAGACATTGGTTAAAGGATATGAACTTTCAGTGATAAGATGAGTAAGTTCTGGGTACTGAATTAATGCTCAAATGGTATCTGTAGTTAACAGATTATATTGTTGGATACTTGAGAGCATGCAAACTAGTTGGGATTCTTTGTCATTTGTGTCCCCCCCGACCTTTTTTTTTTTTTTTTAGTATTATCAGTGAGAAACTTCTTTCACAACTGGTAGCCTGACTTATACTTTTTAAGTACACTTAGACTTTTGGACTTACCGTTTAGACCTCTGAATCATTTCTTTCTTTCCAATAGGTCTGTTCTTTTGGGCAGCCAGGAAGCCTAAACATGAGAAAAAAGACTCCAGTGGACAGTGACTTGATAAAAAAAGAATGTGTCACTCAAAGTCTGTAAGAAGGAGCCCCCACCCTGGTTTTTGTGCCCCCACCCTGAGCTGGCAGTGCTCAGCTGTGGGTAATGGCTTAGGGCCAACTCCAGGGTTAGGCTATTGCAACTGTGACTGCAGCATGAGGTTCCTGGAGACACAACACTGCAGCACAGACTGGACAGTCTGAATCAAAACACTGTTAGTTTGTAGGTAAGGCTGAAACACTGCATGGAACTTTATACAATTTTCTCAGCTTCCATATATTATTGTATTGACTTTTTTTTCATTGAGATCTTATACTTGATATAGCTAGATGAGAGCCAGCCAACCTGGCTTCCCATCCCAGATTAGGTGCATAATTTTGGCAAGGTATTTAGTGTCTTTTTACTTTACTTTTCTCATCAATAAAATTGGGATAGTAGAAGTATCTATCTTGCCAAGTGTCATAAGCATTAAATGAGAAAAAATTATCTGGGCATTGCACAAGGGCTACAAAAGTGGTGTGGGTACTATTGTTATTATCTATTATTATTATTTATGGCTACCCTATGAGGCAGACAAGACTGAAATCAGCTCATCTTTAAAGAAAAGCACTTGTTCATGGTCATAGAGCTGGTACATAAAAACACTATTCTCACTGTACATTTTTGTTTTTAAGATGCAGTGACAGGACAAGAATAAAGGGGTTTATCTGGATCACAAAATGCTGAAAACTAAATCTGGCAGGTTCTGCTATCTAAAGTGACCAAAAATCACTTTCTGTTCGTGTAACCTCATGTTGATCAGTGCTCCTTAACATGAAGCAGATCTTGCTTTCTACCCAGTAAGAAGGAAGTGAACAGTTACCTCTTTTAGAGAGTGGGTGCATGGGGTCCCGATAGCACTGCCATTCTCTCACAGTGTTGAACAGTGCCTCCCGTTCACTCTGTAACATGTTCTGCAGCTTCCTCTCTTGAACTATTAACTTCAAGCGCTTTATGCGCTCCCCAGAGCGAGAGATGAAATCAGGTCTGTGTAGCCAAAGTGATTCCTAATGAGGAAAAAATATCCCCCATCTCACATTAAAGATGTAGTCTATTCCCTCAGGATTTAGAACAGTAACAGCTCAACAGACTTGGAGAACCTGTTTCTATAGCACAGAAAATATGTAGAGCTGAAGAAGAATCTAAAACTGTGAGAGAGAGTTCCAGAGTGGAAATCAGAGGGATAAAATGAAGGCCTTTAGAATAAGCCAAGAACTAAAATCATGCAAATAAAACTTTTCCAAATATTGATGATCCGGATAGAGCTTGGCCCATAAATTTTCCTTCAAACAAAATATCATTAAATAGTATTTCTTTTAGCTACCAAAGGACATATAGAGAAAAACCTGGTTCTTTTTAAATGCTGTGTTAAGCAAAATGGAAGAAATTTTTAAAAGTTTGACATCAAGCTCCCAGAGCGTTCCATACCCCAGCATCACACCATCCTCCCTATCTTGTTTTGTCCCTAGATACAAAGTTGAGCTACAATTTAGATTAAACAGTAAAGCAATCTTTGATTAATGATGAGAATGAGTACAAATAAGCTGTGGCTAGACATATAACTACATTACTGTACTTCAGAAGGCCAAGTCACAGATTTAACTTCTTTGGCTATCTCCTTTCCTTCCTCCTTAAACACAAGGCCACATTTAATTCTGTGCCACTGTACCTGTAAAGTTGCTCTCACAAATGGCCTTGGTGGATCTCTGCCTGGCCCTGCCAGAGGTCTGTGGCTGTCCACACACTGCCCTTGCCAGTTATGTTCCCGCAGTGGCTCCCTCCAAGGTTTAGTGTTGGTTATTGGTGCAAACCAGGCGATACCAGGACCATAAAACTTGTTGGGTAGGTTTTCCTTCTTAGATCCAGATTTCACATTTTCCACAGGAACAAACCAGGAAACTCCTGTAGGAAATAATTTTTAAGGATGAGGAATGATCTCTCAGTTTTTAAAATCCAATTAGCTTTCACCAGAGAGATATGTATAATATAGGTGCTCTAGGGAATGCAGCTATCTGAGGCCACCAGGGTGCTGTAGAGTCTGCTTAATCTCAGGTACAACTATGTAAATGCAGTGCTAGATACTTATAAATTTGTCAGTGTGGTGTTAAGTGGGAAAACAGTTATTCAGAAACCAAGAATCTTAGCATCATAAAATTCACAAGTTTTCCTGTTATAAAACTGAATCAGAAACTGACCTTCACAGCACCTCTGTTTGTTCTTCCTTGATTTTCTGTCCCCGACATAGCTGGTAAGGAGCATTTTCTCTTCTATCTTATCTTCTGACCAAGAAGCCACATCACTATCCTCTTCTACTTTAGCCTCACTAGAAACTGGAGTTGGGAAGGTCAACCCAACATCTCGAGTGTGTTTTTTGACACCATTCACAATCTCCAAATTACCTGAGGGGAAAGATCGCAGATAATATCTAAAGATTTATTTATTTATGCATACAAGAACTGGGATGTTGGCCAGAGGTGCGGGAGGGTGGGGGAGTGGGGTATGTGTGTGTGAGAGGATTCACCAGAGACAGAATGGGAAACAGAATAAGCAGACTCACTGAAAAATACTGCTGTGGGAGCAGTGGGAGGTGGAGGGGGTCAGAAGAGGTCTGCTGCGCCATGTAGGTCAGCTCCCTGGCAGGGGATTGAACTCAAGCAGTGGCTGGCAACAGCTTGATAATGCTGAGACTTTAACCCCTCTGCCAGGGCCCAGTAAAAGGACAATTTTTAAAGACTTTAAAACATATACTCCTGTGAGGGGTGGGGAAAAGGAGAAGGAAGAGAGAAAGAGAGGAGTGGGGGGGAAGAAGGAGGTTTATTTATTCATACATACAAGAACTGGGGTACAGGCCAGTAGGGAGTGAGAGTATTCACCATAGACAGATTAGGGAGCAGAACAGGCAGATTAACTGAAATATACTGCAGAGGGGAGTGGTGGGTGAGACAGGAGAGGTTTGCTGAACCACATGGGTCACCTCCCTACCGGGGATTGAACTTGTACTGTAGTGGCTGCAGATAGCTTCAGAGTGCTGCAACTTAACGCCCTGTCCCACCAGGAAGGGTCTGAAAGGATTTTTATTTCTAAATCAGTTTAGAAGTTGGTGGGAAAGAACTACTAATACGATTTCAGTGGATTAAGGATTTCAGTTCTGATACAGATAAGACAGACAATAAATGCTTAAGCCTACTAGTGACTATTCAGGTAAGAAAAGGTTGACAGTGGCCCTCCCTGGTGGCGCAGCGGGTTAAAGCACTGCACAAAGAAGCTTAAGCCACTTCCGCATGAGTTCGATTCCCGCCTGCCCCTGGAGGAGACCACATGGCGTGGCAGACCTCTCCTGACCTGCCCACTGTTCCCCT